TATATATATATATTTTTTAAAATAGTAAACTATAGCATAATTTGATATTTTAAGTTTGAAACAATATTAAAAACTCAAAAATACCCATAAGCCTCCTTTCAACCCCTTTCTTCTTCTCCCTGTACTCAAGTTCACCAGGACCGACATTGGCAATCGGCAGCCAACTCCAGCGACCGGCTCTGATGACAGATGAATGTTTTCTGGTGGCTGATGATTGTTTTTTGGGCGACTGTTTAACACTGTATTTGCTAATAAATACTATATTTACCGGTAAATATCATATTTATCTGAAAATGCGGCCACCAACTCCGGTGACCGTTTAACATTGTATTTACTGATAAATACAATATTTACTAGTAAGTATGGCATTTATCCAAAATTGCAGCCACTGACTCCGGCGATCATTTAACACTGAATTTACCGGTAAATACCATATTTACTAGTAAATATTATATTTATCTAAAGATCTAACCACCGACTCCGGCAACCGTCTGTATTTACAGTAAATATCGCAGATTCTAAATTGTAACTATTAAAATAATTTTAGGCAAACAAAGTATTTACTATATTCAAAATTGTTGTTACTAAAGTATTTAAAGGTAAATATAGTGTTAATCAGATTCAAACTTGTTACTACTAAAATATTTATTAATAAATACGGTATTTACAATATTTAAAATTAAAATTATTAAAATATTTATTAATAAATACAGTATTTATTAGATTCAAACTTATAATTACTATACTATTATTAGATATATACAGTATTTATCATGTTAAATCTTCTAGCTACTAAAGTATTTATCAGTGAATACATAATTTACTAAATTCCAACACAAACATAGACAAATGCAAAACAAAATTCCACAAATTGTCTGATCTCAATCACAAACTCATGTGTAAATCTGAGTTTAAAAAGTATTAACAAATGTAAATCTGTCTTCTCTGTAAATGTTTGCCATCGTTGCCATGATTGTGACAGAGCTTCGTCCTCACCTTCGCGAGAAGGATTATGTTATTTACTTCATAAGCATATCTAGAATATACTATTTGTTATATTTTCCCAATTAACTATTAATTTCTTTTAAAATTTGTTGGAGCAAAAGTTTATCAATACTTAACGAACGTTTTTAGATTAACAACTCAAATCAAACGGACTAATAATCTTAGAAAATTGGATGAACACTCCAAGAACAAAAATAATTTTGAAAAAAGAATAAAAATAAAGTATCAGAATCTTATGCCGTATTTGGAATTGATCACATTTTTATTTTTCATGTTTTTTGAGAAATAAAAAATAAAAACGTTTTCAAAACGGCGTTTGACGCAATAAAGATAAAAAACAGAAATGAAAATGATTTTTTGATTTAGTGTAAAATGAGAGAGAAATGAAAAACGATTTTTAGTCGTTTTTCATTTTTTGTTTTCGTTTTCTCCTCTCTCGAGCAGAGAGAGAGAAAGAGAGATATTAATTTGTTTTTTATACTGAAAATAATCTATTGATAAAATTACCAAACGCATTTTCAAAAATAATTTCTGTCTGAGATTAAAAACGTTTTCATTTTCATTTTCATACAAAAAGCAAAATCATTTTGAAACAAATTCTAAACGCACCCTTAAAGCTCTTTTATTGAAAATAGAATGTATTATCTTTTCTCTCAAATCGAGAAAATTTATAATGTATAAAGTTTAATTCTCCGAGAGTTTATTATCTTTTAAATTACAACATAAAATTCTCAACCTCTTGATGCTACAACTATAAATAATCAAATACGGATTAAATCTTTGGTCATTGGATTAAAAAGCTACATGTCGTTTTAGACTCTATGAGCCATGACCTTTCAGAACTACGTCGTTTTATCCACAATACTCTTCTTCTCTTTTTTTTTCTTCTCTTTTTTTTCTTCTCTTTTTTTTTTTCTTTTTTTTTTTTTCCGCACTCTTGCATTATCCATATATCAATCTGCAGAGGAAGAAGTGGAAAAAGAGAGAGAAGCTAAATAGCAGAACAAAACGAGTCTCAGAATCTCAAGAACTCAAAGCAACTACAATGGCAGCCATGGCTGCTCTGCAAAGCTCCCTCACTTCTCTCTCTCTCTCCTCAAACTCCTTTTTGGGTCAGCGTCTCTCACCATCATCTCTCTCTTCTGCCCCGGTAATCTCTCTCTCTCTCTCTCTCTCTCTCTCTCCCTCTCCCTCTCTTATTATACTCTTTTTTACGTTTTGTTTTATTTAAATTTTGGTTCTTTAGCGCTTCCACTGTAATGGGTCTGGCTCAATTTGGACTTTACTTGAAGGAAAAAATGAAATTTTCTTTGGTTTTGTGTTTGCCATAGTTGGGTTCTTTACTTGGAAATTTTTCATTTTTTTAAGGACGATGAAATGGTCGTTTAATTATAGAAATTCAGTGAAATTTTGGTTCTTTACTGGTTACATTCTAAGACCCGATTTGGACTTTCTCCTTCTTTGCTGATGACTTCACTTTGTCGTATTTAAATGGGAAATGCCCAATTTCAAGAAAAAAGAAATTTTCTTTGGTTTTGTGTTTGCCATTGTCGGGCTTTTTAGTTGAGTAATTTTTCATTTTTGTTTTTGAAAGGAAGATGAAATGGTCGTTTAATTACAAAAATTCAGTGGAAATTTGGATTCCTGCTTGAGCTTAAGTATTGGGAGTTTCTTGGTTGAAACGTTGATCTGATTGCCAATGGAGTGAGGACTTGTGGATATGATGCCCTTGTTGGTTCCATTGAAGGATTAGTTTTCTCTATGTTGTATTCTATTAACAGCTATTTTCCCTTTTTTGGCTCAAGTCCAAAGAAACTGTTTATGAATGTTTGGATAACTTGTCAAAGCTTCCAATCAAACCAATAAAATATGGCTTCTCAAAAAGCCTAGAAGATTTTGAAACTTGTACAAGAATTTAAATAAGATTTTATAAACTTTGTTCTTACATTTTTTTTTTTTTTACTTATTAGAAAATTTAAATCTCATTTTTATCCCGTTTAGTGCTTCCATAAATGTGATTCTAAACACTAACTGAAACCATAGTTTGTACTTTGTACCTTTTTTTTTTACTGCCTAAAAGTATAAGCAAAAGCAATCCCAAACGAGCACTAAGTGAGCGCTTCTTTGTTGGAAGAACATTCTTAACTTGCTTCTTTTGCATAAATCTAACTTGTGCAACATGTTCGGTTAGAGTGAATGAACTATGATTCTCGAATTCTTTAGTGCGCATAATGATGGGATAGAGATACCCATAGTGTGTTGGCTAGAATTGTCATGCCTTTGGTTGGTTTGCTTCCACAAAGTCTGGGCTTTGAACCATCTCATTGGCACCTACATGACAAAAGTCATAGCTTCCTTCCTTTCAAAGATTGTAGAGTTTGGCAGAAGGTTTCAGTTTGAAACTTGAGCTCACAAAGTGAGTTCCGGAGATGGGATAGGGATCAATCATTTCTGCTAATATGATGTTATATCTTTCCATTTTTAATCCATTGTAATGTCTGCAGGAGATGAAAGTAGGGAATGAGAATTTTGAAGATAAAACTTGCATTCGGTATCTTTATCACCTTAATTTCTTGAGAATCAACCAGTTGTGATAATTACTAAATCATGTCACCTTTAACCGTATATATATGGTTGGAAATTTGTAAAGAGAATTCTTTTCTTTTCTTCCCCGTTCATATAATGTCACCTTAGTTTTTGTTCTCATATATTGCTTCCTGTCATGTCATTTAAAAGGAAACAAATGTTTTCACCCAGTTGATATTCAGAGTCCCTTTTTCCAGTGCTTGCTAAATTTTAAGAGTGATCACATGAAGCATTCCATGACAAACCCGTCTTGTTTCTCTTACAGCTTAAATCAACAGAGAAGCCATGTCTCATTGTTGCAAGGGTTAGTATCAAATCTCATGTTCTTATATAGACTTTTCTAATCTTTCCTCAGTTAGTAAGCCTTTCCTATTTCCTATCACCAAGCTTTTCTATTACGTGCAATCGGACTATATGACAAACGTATAAAATGTTTGACCCACCAATATAATAGAAATTACCAATAATATATTTCGTTTTATGGCATATAGTTACTGTATTTTGTTTCTATCTTATGAAAAAGATACTTTGATCTCCTTTTACAGGTTAAGCGATGGGAGCGGAAGGAGTGTAAGCCGAACGGTCTTCCGGTGTTACAGAAAATGCACGTTAAGGCTGGAGATACAGTTAAAGTAATATCTGGACGTGAAAAGGGTAAAATTGGAGAGATCACTAAGGTCTTTCGGCATAATAGTACGGTGATAGTCTCGGAGATAAACTTGAAGACGAAGCACATGAAGAGCAGAGAAGAGGGTGAACCAGGGCAGATTGTTAAGGTTCAACTTTCTTCCTCAATAACTCGAAGTCACCCTTAGTTCCAATGATTCTCTTTCTTTGTACATAAATATATTATACGAAAAAGTGCAATACTTATGAATTAATGCTAAATATGGTTTATACCATCAGAGTAAGAGTATTTGGTTAGTGCCTTTTCACTACCTTTTGTGAAAGAGCTAATATCTATCTAACTGTGAATGATCTTGAATACTTGGAATTTCCACTATTTTTTGGAACAAATCAAAGCTACCTTAGATTTTATTTGTTTATATGTTTCCCAAGATTGTTTTAGTCCTTATATTTTGTTAGTGGATTTTGGTTTTTCTAGATTGAAGCACCCATCCACAGCTCCAATGTGATGCTCTACTCGAAGGAAAAGGAAGTAGCAAGCAGAGTCGGTCATAAAACCCTTGACGACGGAAAACGGGTTCGATACCTCATAAAGACCGGCGAAATAATCGATACTCCAGACAGGTGGAAGGAACTCAAAGAAGGAAAGAAAACTGAAGTAGCCGCCGCTCCTGCTGCTTCTTCATAGCCTCTCTAGCATTCTTGGCCATTGATATAGCCTTTTGTATTCCTAGACTTATTTACTATTCTCCTACTCTCTCTTTACAATATAGTTTTGGTTATTCTGTATTGTTTCTTTTGTATTTCAAGCTAGAATATGGGAATCTCAAGTCTAAACTTGTATGGCATTTCTCTACATTTGAGTTGATAATTTTTGTGAATCATGTAGCACATTATATTCTTTTGCTTATTTCCATTCAATGGGAAAATTCATTGATTACAGAATACAACATTTCTTGCATTGCAAAACAAGTATTTTACAATTTAGACCTTCAGACCAGATAATCATCTCTTCATAGCTCAAACATCCCTGATTAAAATCTGTGGGTCTTTTGGCTTCTACTTTTGGGCACAATTAGCTAAAAGTTAAGAATTCTCTGACTAGCTACCTACCAAATCTTGCACTGTCATTTTGAAAGAATACTAGGTGTGAAGTTAAGATTAGTTGAGACATATTTGGGGATTCTATGGTGACTTTGACCTTACGATTTAAATCCGATGGTCCTTATAAAATGGGTGTATGATGCAAGTTCTCTCACGATATCCGGTCCCGTGTAATATGAGCTGTCCGATTTAAATCGCACGGATGCGATCAATGGCCCCTATAGAACCTTAAAATGAGAGTATTCAATGTAGAGTTTCTTATATATTATTGTTGTATCTATAAAAATAACTACTTAAAAACAGCAGTGGGGACACACAAAAACCTTCATTTTAATATTGCACATACTTGTTATCAACGCTATCTATATACTATTTAGTTGTTGAAATCTAGAATGTGAAATCGCCCATTTTTTTCAATAAATAATGGCTTAAGAAGACCTCCAAGGAGAACTAAAAAACAAAAACTTTAAAAGAATTCGAATTTTCCTCTTTTAAAATAACCTCTAATGAAAGTGATTGATCCCCATCTCTCTCTACTCTGTTTTTTTTTTTTATTATTATTATTATTCTTTTCACTCTTTTCCACGAACCATTTCTCAAGAAAAACAAGCAGATTTCAACGGCCAAGATAAGGGGTGATATATAAAATAAAGCTCTTACTGTCAAAACTGAATTAAGTGCTATGGATTAGTCAGATGAAACATACCTTATATAAAACTCATTTAGTATGGTTAATCAACCTTGTTATATCAAACTTCACTAGGTTGCAACTTGTGTGCCAATATAATATTGTTTTAATTTAGAATATAAATGCATTTCTGTTAATAGAAGAATTTCGTGAATGAAATGGCATGTTTAAAATTTCTTTTGTTGGACTGCATATCTTCACAATGCGTGAAAACCAAACTAATAAAGAGAGAAAAATAAAAATGCCATTATTAAAGTAATACTATTTTATTTATACTACTGTTATAAATTTATGTTATGTCATTAATAATATGTAAGTTATCTTTTTATAATGTGCAAATTATCTTTCGTAGCAAGTTATTTGTTATATTAGTATTAAAATTTTGTGCAGGGACAGTAAATAATATTATTTATGAAAAAACAATGTTTCTTATATAATCATTAGGGAGAAAGAGGAAAATAGGTCAAGACTTGAGATAAATTAAAATTAATAGACTAATAGTTTACATAAGTTAATAAATAGGCCAAATTACTATTTTTGTCCATAACTTGTCTGGTTATGAACCATAACTTGACAAGTTATTGTCCATAATTCACGGTTTTTGTCCATAACTTGTCTGGCTATGAACCATAACTTGACAAGTTTGTTCATAACTTATCTGGTTATGAACCATAACTTATCAAGTTATGACCTATTAATTTCTATAACTAAAAATTAACCTATATATTTTTTTAAGCTTTTCATATTGGCATATTTTCTACTATTTCCGTAATCATTATTGGGTTGTTTGGTAGAATAAAATTGGGCTTTAGGCCCATATACTTATGTAATGAAAATGTGTAGGTTTTGGAGTTTGTATGCAGTGAGATCTCAATCCTCTCGATCCTCTCGCGTTTGGTTTATGGATTCAGAATTATAATTCAGACTCATTCTCGATTTATGTGTATTTTTTATGAAAAAAAATACTGTAACAAGCCACGAATCATGATCTAAATCCTGACATGAATCCTTACTCCAAGCGCTATTGCCTCTAGACATCTTAGTGGCTTGCCTCATCAATAGTGAGGAAGAACTAGCCGCCGCATTAGTGATTGGATTTTTCATGGCTTCAAAAGGTACATAACGATTTCAATTTCTCTAATTTCAGTGTTCTACATGTTGTGTGTGGATTCAGGTTTATTGCTAGAATTTTCTTATAGTTAAAACGCAATTCTGAACCATAAAGGTCTCGTTTATTTTACCAATTTGAGTTTTCAGTTTTAAATTTTTACGGTTAAAAGCTCTCAAAAAATGTCACATCTAACATTTTTTACTACAGTTAAAAGCTCTCAGAAGATGTCACATCTCAACTCGAATTGAAAACTCAAATCTACGATACGAATAAGGCCAAAGATCTCATCAAAATCGTATCATTTAAAAAAAAAAAAATGTATATCAAAATTTAACTAAAATTAATGAAAATATAACTATTTAGAATTGTGAATACTTTTTAAAAAAAAAAAAATTTCTCCATTCTAATATTAAAAAAATAAAAAAACATCAGACAATCCTCAAATTAATCTACGGCATAGGATGGAACATAATTTCAAACCATGCACGTGTTGGTTTCTAAATCAAATTTGGATGCGGAAGCATGATGATAACGGATCAAATATAGTAAAAATTTTCATAAAACTTTTGAGATACTCTATAGATTATATTAATTTATGTATGAATAAATTAATCATATTAATTTATTTATTAAGAACTCAATTAGTAATAATATTTAGTGGCCGATTAGGATGATAACTTGAGTTCTTTGACCTCGAACAATCTTTACTCCAAAGCCTTGTGTTTAGAAACCAATGTCTTCCACGTCAATTCTTAGAATCCACGAAGACGTGTGTGTGGGCACACCTGAGACAAAACGGGTTATAATAAACACTCGAACTTCCACAAACACCAACGCATGCACGATGTGAAATTTTTGGAGAAAATTTTTTCCTTCCCACACTAAGAGAATTTCGGCCACACTAAAAATAATAGGTCAAAAATTGTGTCTCACAATTTTCTATCATTCTCTTATTTATAGAATTAATTAAACACTTGAATTAATTAATTAATTCTATTAATTTCAATAGTTACTCCACTATAAACTTGAAATTGCACTCTCAAAATTATAGATGTAAATTACTTCTAAACTGTAAAGTATCCATGTGATATAGTCACTGCATATAGATCAATCCTCCATAAATAATTCATAATTAGAGCTAGGTAAAATCCGTTAACCTCTCTAATTACATCTTTACCCTTGAGTACCATTGATTCTCTAATGGACAGTGATTCATAAAACACATTCATAAATCGGAGCTCCTACTGGTCCAAGTACCGAATCAATCCTCAAGAAAATTATTATCTGCTTCTTTCTCAAGAAGGAATGGATTCCATCTCGTATAATAATATTCCCAGCTACTTACTTCATCATGTCTCCAAAATACAAGGAATAGGATTCAGGATCTCAAAATCCATACCAAGTAAATCAAAAGACACAAATCCATAAATAGGAGTCTGCTAAGAACTTAAGATTGAGATCATTCTATATATGACCTCGGTAGACTCAATTAGAATTTGTATTAAATTCATATTGTGTATGTGTCCTTGTTCTACATAATCTTATTATGCGTAATACACTCATTCAATATCTCGTCATATTAACAGTGCAGATAACATCGTTCCATTCTAAATGGGAATGACATGTATTAGTAATATTTTGATTAAAGATTCTAAACTTTAATTAAATTCATTACGAATACCGTTTTTTATTATTATCCTTAAACATTATTCTCTCGCATATAACATTTATATACAACATATAATGTCACATAAATAATTATTATGCACATAAAATAATAAATAAATTTTTTTATTAAATAAATAATAAATATTTTATTATATCTCATATTTTTAAAGACACTATTTTTAACGGGATGTGAGACACTATTTCCAACAGCTTGTGCGACACGGTCGATAATTTTCTTCTCCCGTAGTGGAACGGAACATTGTAAACTTTATGAATCTGTCAACTCCAAAACGCTACGTGTACAACATGCAATTTATTATATGCACTAGACTTGGTCGTGCCTTCTTGTCTTGTGCTTCCTCAATTTCTGTAGAATCCACAAATTATTACACAACTTGATTATTCGACACTACCAAAAACAAATATATACACACATATATATATAAATATTATATTAATATATGTACTATATATAACAATCTTGTTTGACAAAAACCGGCAACACAACTTCATTATTGCACATATAAATAGTATTGGATTTTCCTCTCAGCCTAAATATAGACCAGATCTGTTCATTATTGGAAGTGAAAAAAATAGTGAGAGAAAAATGGAGGATTCAAAGAGCAGAGAAGTGGTGGATCAGGCCGAAAGAAAAGGGTGTCAGAAGACATATTGTGTGACTGGTGCAACTGGCTATGTGGGTTCTTGGTTGGTCAAGACTCTTCTTGAAAGTGGCTCCATAGTTCATGCCACAGTCCGTGATCCTGGTTTGGACCTTCTTTTGTTTCTCTCTCAATACTTAATCTTCTCTCTCTTTCTTTTTTCTTTTTTTCTTTTTTTTTTCCCCCATAAACTTCTGATCTATAGTTTTATACTAAAAGAAGGGGTGGGAATCATGGGGGTGAAGATATTGTCCCAAATTCAAGTTGGGAATATTGGTTCCAAACTGGGAGGAATAGTCACATCTTTATTTATTGGACTAGACATGAATCGAAGTGAGTAGAAATATTTTGAATGAACAGGATTTCGGATGAGATTTTGGAGCCAGAAGAGTTATTTTTGTTTATTTGTTTTGCATTAGTGAGTAAGTTCTTGAGGTTAACCTGGCAGTGAATTATATATATATATATATATATGAGTTTTCCATATAAAGTGTATATGGTTAACACCAAAGTGGAGGATGAGGAAGTTTTGCATATTGGCTCCACAATCATGTTTTGACCAAGTAAGACTGGTCATTTTTGTTGGAGATGGTAGGATGTAATTATCTTTATTCTAGTTTTCCACAAATTCCAAATTCCAATGTTTGGTCAATACAACTATTTTCAAGAAAAAAAAAAAAAGGAAAATTCCCAATGGACTTGGTCCAGTCCACAATTTCATAACATCATAGATTAGCTAATTGCTCATTTGTTAAATGTCTAGCTTAGCACGCCTAGTAATATATATACATATATATAGAGCTAAAATATTCAATTACAGCACTCACAATAAAGAAAAGAGTTCACTCTGTATATTAATGTGGATAATAGTCTTATTGTTAGTGGGACAAATTTTTATAACATGGAATGGACATTCTATTTGTGTTCCACTAAAGGAAACATATTCCTAGCCAATGAGTCAAGACCTCTATAGGCATTTGACTTGATGCAGAAAAGAGTTTGAGAAACTTTAGTGTAGCCCAGAAGAAAAAAATAATAATTAGAAAATATTTTTGCCTCATAATTTTATATTTGCCCTGATTTTATAATTCATTGCTTCAAATTAAGAAAGGGTTTAGGTGCATTATGACATCTTTAATATGTGGCAAACTAGGAACATTAAGGTGACGTTTGTTTTAAGGATTTTGTTTAATTTAGGATCATAGTTTGTGGTTCTGCTATAGTGTTTTTTCTCATAAAAAATTTAAATTTCAAAGAAAATAATCTTCCACTACCATTCTGGAACTAGGGAGTGTTTGGCAGATTTTGGACTGACTTTCATAAGTGACCCAAAAGGTTCTACAAACCCCAAGAATTGTTTCACCAAAGACAGAATTCATCATTCAAGGACTGCGTCTAGTCAATTTTATGAGATTTGCTGCTATCTCAAAAGGCTAGCTAAAAATGTGCCTTGTTGCTTGGCTCTAGTGTAGCTAAGGCCTGTTTGCAAACTGGAAATTCATTGCTTGATATGACCCATTTCTTTGAATACTAGACAAAACAAGATTCCACATCATGCTTTTTTTTTTGCTAATGAAATTTATTGGTATTCTTTTGGGATAATTCTTTGATAGGGGAAAAGAAAATGACAGATAAGAAACAGTTTTAAACCATCAAATCACTTTAGAATCATATGAGATTAAAAAAAGTATGATATGAAAATGTGACATTTAATATTGTACCTACCGATAGATATATATATATATATATTGTCTTTTCTTACCTACCACATAATTCTCTTCAAGAATTTGAAGTCAATAAGCATGTTAAGTTATAAGTTGACTTAATTTTATTTTTATTTTTAATACATCTCAGTCAAGTGTTTGCACCTATTATCAATGTGGACGGGGAGTGACCGGTTGAGATTGTTCCGAGCCGATTTGAATGAAGAAGGGAGCTTCAATGAGGCTGTGAAGGGCTGTGATGGCGTATTTCATGTTGCGACTCCAATGGAGTTTGGTGCTGCTGTGGAAGAGAATATTGGTAAATTTTTCCAACTTAATACCAATTACAAGCACATAACATGCTATTCAGCTCCATTTTGTGTCACTCTTGATTTTTTGGTGGAAATTTTCAGTCTTAACACAAGTTCCTCTTTTCTATGAATTTCAAGAGAGTTATGTTCAATCACATATCATTGACCCTGCAATCAATGGGACCCTTAATCTCCTTAGAGCCTGCTTGGAATCCAAATCTGTGAAAAGAGTTGTTTTCACATCTTCCATTAGTACTATCACTGCCAAAGACAGCAATGGAGAATGGAGACCAGTTGTTGATGAATCTTGTCAAACTCCTATTGACCATGTGTGGAAGACAAGAGCAAATGGATGGGTAATGTTTCCTTCTCACTCTCTTTTTTCTTAGCCTAGGGCATACACTACTAGAGATGTGAATTCAGGCCGACATAAGCCCATTTGTTCCTGTTCAAACTGACAACTCTATACACTGTTATAGCGAGTGTGTGAACTTTAAATCTGGTCAAAATCACATCAAAATATAAAAGTAAATAAAACTGAGAGAATTTAATAAAAATCTAATGGTTAAACAGAATCTTTTCATTATATATTTTTTCATACCCTACCGTAAAAATCTCGAGTTTTTTTATTATTATTATTTTGATTAACAATCTCGAGGGAAAAAACCTCTCCATTACAGGTTTATGCGCTCTCTAAGCTTCTTACAGAGGAAGCAGCATTCAGATTTGCAATTGATAATGGTATTGATCTTGTATCTGTAATAACATCTACTGTTGCTGGACCATTCCTCACTTCTAATGTTCCCTCAAGCATCCAAGTTCTCTTGTCACTACTAACAGGTGATTGGGCCCTTTTTCTTTTAGTCTATTCATTCGTGAACACATAAAAATACCCAACATCACAAATGAACTTTGAGAAACTATCTAATAGTCTCATGATTACTGCTATTGTATGAAGACTTAACCCCCGTTCTTTTCACAGTTCGAATCACAATTCAATTTTTTTATTACGGTGTTTTCTCTCATAAAAATTGAAATTTTAGTTCATGCTTTGCACTTGAACCCGTGAAAATAACAAGGCCTTATCGCATTTCTAATTTAATACAACAGTTCATACGCCCCTCTTTTCTTGCATAATAACCTTTTTTTTTATGAGGTTTATGTATGCCTATATGAGAATAAATGCAGCCAATCTGAGATATGGATGACTTACATATGTACTTAGGTGACCCTGAGCTCTTTGGGATCTTGTCTGCTGTAAATGCAAGGATGGGGTCTATTGCTTTAGTCCACATTGAAGATATATGTAGGGCCCACTTGTTCTTAATGGAGCATGATAAAGCAGAGGGCAGGTATATATGCTGTGCTCAAAGTTGTCCATTATCTAAGTTGTTGAATTATCTGGCTCAAGAGTATCCTAGCTCAAATTTGCAAAGGTAATGCTTTTGCTTATTTTGCTTAAATTTGCAATTTTAGTGCAAAAACTTCACTTAAATTAATCAAAATGTTACATTCCACCTTATGTTTTACATAAATGGTGTACTTATCCCCCTACGTTTTACAAATTATGTTTAAACCTGGTTGTGATTTTAACTGAACTTGTAAAGCGTAAGGAAAAAAATGTAATGTACCTGAAAACATAGGACGGAGCGAAACATTTTGTTGAACATATGAGAGATTTTTGTTATTGTCCCCGAGAATATTGTAACTGATAATGGTAACTTTATTGCATGCAGATTTTTAGGGGAGGATCTTAATCAAGCACCTTCTGAGATTTCTTCAAAGAAGCTAAGAGATTTGGGTTTTGAGTACAAGCATGGTGTACAAAATATCATTCATCAGACTGTCATTGGTTGTCAAGGTTATGGCTTTCTACCTCCAATTGGAAGTTAGTGGTGGAAACCAGAAACCATGTCTATTTAATTGAACAAGCTTTGTTTTCTTTTTTCTTTTTTTTTTTCTTATAGGAAAAAAGTGTGGGCTGATAAAACCGGCCATAACTACTCTATTTTGAGTGATCATACGAGAATTCATAAGTTAAAAAATGTTTTCATTGAGCCATAATTACTTACGTCAGAGATAAACTGCGTCACTTTAATCCCATTAAGAACTAATAAACATTGAATCGATAACCTGAAAATAGTCTCACGCTTCGTATCATACCACTTACCACTTGGGAGTAAGCCATGCAAGCTATTTAGGACTAGCAAATAGAAAGAATATTGAAAGTTAAATGGCCAAAGTCATTCTATCCCACTTTATGAAAATCCAAACCCATTGTTAACGACCATCAGAAGCAAACAAGCACATTTCATGTCAAAAGATTTTAGGGCATGATTTGCCGCAAAAACTAAATTGAAAGCTGACATTCTGACATGATTGAGTTAGGGAGCTTAAGAATGTGATTGTCATTATCAATACAACCTCCAATTGATAACTTGTTTGAGCAATTTCCATTATTCCACAAACGGAGTTTTAAGTTAGATATGAAGGAAAGCCTAAAGTAACTAAAGAGTGAGCCACACCAATAAATACAAATTCTGATTTGAGATTGGGGGCCAATGGCCAAGCATCTGTACAATGATTTTTGGAAACCCCCCATCAACTCATAAAATAGTCTGGAAATTATTATTTTGTGGGCAATGCTGCTTTAAATGCAACAATTGACTTCCACAACTAACCAAGCCAAAGATGTATGATTGTCCTTTGTGGTCACCTATAAGGACTAATGATGGGGCCAAATCTAGTTTTTGTTGCTACCTAGAGAAATGCTGCATTTGAAAACTGAAAAAAGTATATATTATTATATGAACGTTTGGTTAATGAATTCAGAATTATTTTTTTATTTACGCGTGTTTTTTATGAGAAAAAATATTGTAACGAATAACAAATTATGATTCAAATTATGACATGAATTCATAAACTATAATAAACTAAATATAGTGTTAATATTAAATTTGACCCCTGAAGAATAATGATTTTCATTTTTCCGGTATCACTCAAAAATGGCAAAACTCCCTCGTAACCTTATTTATAATAAGTTACTACTTTAGTACTTTGATCGTTGAGATGTCAATTTTTTGACCTCATAGTATTGCTTGATAAAAGACAATATAGTATGTTTTAAAAAAATAAACTTTAAATATAAAAAGATCATAAATTCTTTCTCGTTTTAATCCCAAATGTCATCTACTCTTTACTCGTAACCCTGCATCAATATCAACATTGGCATCCTATATTATCTTTTACCAACTAGTCATGTGACGCACACGTAACTAAAATTGTTAAAAAAATTGTTTCATTGACATAAGTATCAAAGTTTACCTTAGAAATCAACGGTGGTTTTC